GAGAATGAAATATATATAAAAAGAGAAACTAGGTCCTGGTAACACTTTTGAGATTTTGTGTGTAGGCAATCTTAATGTCAGTCTTATATTTAGTCTTGGGGTAAAATATCTTCATTTTTTTAAAAAAGGCAAAATGTAAATTAAAAATACCAAAGTTATCTTAAGCATATCTAAGCACCACCACTTACCACCCCAACAGTCACAACGATAAATAAATTGTTTTTTGGTGGGTTTTTTTTTTAAAGGGCGGGGGGCAGTGATGGGGTTGTGGCTCAGTGGTAGAGCACTCGCACGTGGGCAAGACCCTGGGTTGGACCCTCAGTACCACATAAAAATAAATGTCCAATTAAAAAAGAAAAATTAAAAAAAAAAACTTTGGATGGAATTTGAAAACTAAGCTTACAAAAAAAAATCGGTTAAGGAGTCTATATAAAATTTTGTGAGAGAACAAAGGAAGGCATGGGGAAAAAGTCTGAAGCAACTCTAAGCAAAGTCAATAGAATTTTCATGTAATATGGTAGCACATGATGTAGATCACATTTCTATAATTTGTTGACAGGTTTAAAAGATGTCAATACTTCCCACCAATGTAAAAACTTCAACTACCAGTAGAAATCTCAATTGCATTACATAATTACAAGTCAGAACAGTATTAAAGTTGGCAGGACGTAGTGCCTAGAGTTAACTGAGGCTATGAAAACACTGCCCCAAAGGTTGTAAAGAAATTTTGAATAAACAAAACTGGTTACTAAGTGGCTCCAGGGAAAAAATACGTTGCTTACTCTTTCAGATTAGCTTACTGTATTTTTGAGCTCTTTCACAACTCTTAAGAAGTAGTAAATAACCAATAGCAATTTGAAATGTTTCTTGCCTACAAATATGCAAATAAATTCTGTCCAGTGGAGAGTCACTAGACTCAGCTATGGAGATCCCAGTTTTATCCGTTTTTGAATTCATTTCAACATTTCTTTGTAAGCCACAGAAGTTTGTGTTTCTCTGGATTCATTTTTGAACCAGTTGTAATATTTGTCTGGATTTCTTATGATAAATTAAGGAAGCCTAGCACAGTGGTGCACACCTTTAAACCAAATAGTCAGGAGGCTACAGCCGGAGGATCACAAGTTAGAGGCCCATCTACAGAATTAAGCCCAACCCTGTCTCAAAAATAAAAAGAGCTGGGGATGCAGCTCAGTGGTACAACACCCATGGGTTCAATCCCCAGTATGCCACAAATTTATGATATTACTTTTCTTGAAAATTATCTTTTAGTATCAACAAAAAACAAAGCAATGTCTCTAAAAGAGACCATATTTCTGAAGATTGCATCAAAAAAATAAGTTGTCAAGTTTGGGTTTTGAACTAGTTCCTTTAATGAGAAAGTTTTACAGACTTCATAAAGCATAATTTGTTGGTTTCATTTAAGGTGATAATGTGACTATCTTAAATTATGTTCTGATTCAAAAACTTAGAAAATTACATGGTCTAATAAGAATTCCCACAAATGGTGAACTAAATAACTGATACATTTTATATGCTTTATTTAATCACATGTAAAACAATGATATCCCTTGCATATTACTGGAGCAAGATAAAACTTTTTGCCTTTTCAGACCCAACCAAAAGTATTTCCAACCAGAAAAAAACCTTAATTTAATGCTGTTTATTGTTACAAGTAGGCAAAATGTGGTCTAAGAGGTTTAGAGTTAAGGACACTAGACCATTAATAATCAGAAAACCTAGAGATTTGGGCCTTGGGTCTATCCAACTTGACAGCCTAGTTCTACTGTACTATACTTCCTCTGTGCAATAAATTTTTTCCACAGTCCTAAATTTAGACTGGAATTTTCAGTTATTATTATATTAATAGAATTTTACCTAGGAATAGGGGAATACAGTATGTTCTAGGGATTACAATAGGTGTTTTGTTATCCTGTATTTATTTTGGTATAATAGAGAAACAGTCCTGTCATCTCAAAATTATTCATCTTAAAGGGGTACCAAAATCTTGTATGGTGATTTGTACTAGAAAATACACCAATTTTGAAAATTCAAACACAAAACTGAACTCCATGAGCCACGTATTTGTTAAATATGTGTATCCTGTACTTTTGAGACTTCTTTGGCATTTAATACAAATGCTTATTTAATTCCAAAGTTCCATTTAAACCTATAGTCTACTGACATCATTATTGCATTCTCATCCAAACAGCTCATATTACATTATGATAAATGATAGCAAAAAGTGTTCCAGAACAGTCTTACAATCTTCAACACTACGAAGTTCCTAAAATAAATTACCATAACATCTTTATGTCATCAAGCCCACTTTAATAACATATAAATGCATTCCTATCAAAATTCAGCAAAGTAACACTGTAGTGTTTGCCCTTTTTTCTGGTCTCAGGAGTGGAAAATACTTACCCCATGTTCCTTAGCAGCTGTGACAACTTTGAGGAGGATATCTTCCTCAAAAAATGGTCTCACGGCATCATGGATAATCACAACTTCTGGCTTAGAAAGTCTGGAGTTGGGCTGATTGTCTGCCAATGCTTTTAGTCCATTGAAAATCGACCTGTGGCGAGTCACTCCAGCTTCAACTAGTGAGATGCGTTTATGCTTATACTTCTTAATGATATTTTCCATTGCTTCCATGTTCTCTCCAGTTACCACCACAATAATGTCCTTTATCCAACATGCTCTAAAAGAGAAGTATTTAGACATGTCATATGTATCGATTCTTAGACCCCTAAGGCTAATAGAAAACTGAACTGCTGCAATAATAAATATCAGTGTATTTACATAGGGAGACTAAAAACTAATAACCAAGTAAGTTCCATGCATTTTTATTAGGGGTAGTAAAAAGGCTGATGGGAAAGGACCAGTAAATGTTTCATACCATAGGTATAGATAGTACTTCACATGTATGCAGAATATTTAGTCTAGTATATACCATATCAGCTGTTACATTTTTTAGTCAAGTTAAATTTGAGCCGGGTGTGGTGGCACATGCCTATAATCCCAGCAGATTGGGAGGTTGAGGCAAGAGAATCTTCAGTTCAAAGCCAGCCTCAGCAATTTAGTGAGTCCCTAAGGTGAGATCCTGTTTCTAAACAAAAAAGGCCTGGGGATGTGGCACAGTGGTTAAGGGAGTTCAGTGGCTGGTATTGAAAAAAAAATATATAATAATTAGAGTATCAATAAGTTACCTGGGGAACAGTAAATATGATTGTGCCTTTTAAATTTCTGTTTGTCATAATGTTTTCCCCCCCTCAATGGGATAAGAACAACTTGAAGCACTTTTGAATTCCAGAAATTGACCGTCCCTTTCAAGAAGTCCTCTGAGTTGGCAACTGACTATTGAAGTATTAAAGCTGGAAAACTCACCGAACAAAACATGGCTACAGCAAGATAAAGAATGTAGTTTAATGGGGGAAAAACTAGTGATTTTGTATAAATGTCAATTAGGTGAAAAATCTCAATTCAGTGAAGTTAAAGGAATTGTTCCAAGTTACCAAATGTAAAACTAGTTTTCTATTGTAAGATCACTTCCTAAAGAAAGACCTACTAACTTACTGGACTGAAAATAATTCATACTACGATTGGTTACCAAGTTTAAAAAGTCTGTCAGACTTCTCTTGGACCCTAGTGCTAAGGAAAGCAAGTGTCATTGTAGACTTAATGTTCCATAGCCAACAGGCCCAAAGCAGGACAGCTGCTTCTGACCCATGTCATCAACTCTGAATAAAGGACATTTAAAATTTTTTAATGTAATTATTAGCATGAGAAATCAGATATTCATGCTAGAACAGTTAAGACTTGAAAATAAATCAAGTCCTATAATACAAAATAATTAACAAAAATTAAGTACTTACTATGTCTTAAGCATTTTTCATGTTTTAACTCATGTAATCTTCACAATAACGTCTGTACTTTCATAATATGGGAAGCAAATCAGGATGGTATGAATATATAAATACATTTTTCTATACTACCATTTTATTCTAAAAAGGACTTGAAGTAGAAAAACATTTTTACCATTTTTCATCAAGCCAATATATTACATTTTCTTTCAGCTTTTGGAACATAGGCTCCATAATAG